GTTCACTCCAAACCTGTCCCCTATCCCAATCTGGATAGCCTTGGTAGCAATCCCCCTGAGCTGAAAATGCTGTTGATTTCCAGGTCCGTATATGGCAAAATAGCTGCCATTCAGTACTTGATCTTCGATATCCAAATATTTGCATGCTGGCCTGGTGTGTATCAGAGATCTGGCTGGATGAGTCAACCTCTCTCAACTCTGCTCACCTCTGGGGCAGGTCAGTGAAGTTACAGTGGCCTATGAGAAAAATATCCCCCTGACCAGGTGCCCTCTCCCTCAGTCTAAGAGATTTTAGGTCGAGAGTCAAGACAAGATAGGCCCACCCTGCTGTTCTACAGTCTCCCTTCCTGTGCTAGCCAGAGTGGCCTCGGGGTTAGTGTTGGAGTCTCCATGGCTCAGCATAGGACTGGGGGACTTCAACATCCCTGCCAATACAGCCCTGTCAGGAGTGGTTCAGGACTTCATGACAGCCATGACAACCATGGGTCCGTCCCACTTGGTATCTGGCCCCACACGTGTGTCTGGACACACTCTAACCTTGTATTTTACATGGAGGGTGGGGACAATGATGATCTTGGAATGGAGGAGCTCCGTGTGGTTCTGCTGTCATGGACAGATCACTATCTGATCAGGTTTAGACTAGTTGGGACCCAGAACCTCTGAAGGGGTCGGGAATCCATCAAAATAGATTGCCTCAGAAAGCTTATGGATCCAGATGGATTCCTGACAGTTTTTGGGGAATTTCCCACTACCTGGCAGGTGATCCTGTTGAAACCCGGTTGATCTCTGGAGTGGGGAAATGATCAGGACAGTAGACACAATTGCTCTGAAGTGTCCCTTCTCATGAAGTGGAGCTAACCAGTCCCTTAGTTCCCTAAGGAGCTGGCAGCAATGAAATACGCAAGATGGGGACTAGAGCGACAATGGCAGAGAACTCAAAACAAGCAAAAATATATCTGAAGAACTATGCTGGGGCAAGAAGAGCAGCAAAAAGAGCATTCTATACCAACACTACTGCTACAACACAAAAACCGTCCAGCAGAGCTGTTTCATGTGGTTTTCAGATGACCCAGAAGAGAATGTTGCCCATAGAACAGCACATTGTGAGGAAATTTTGCAGATAAGATCGCTCAGATTCTCTGACTTAGATGACACAATTGATACAGCTCCGGCAGATGTAACCTTGGATCCTGCTCGTCCAGTGTTGATGAATACTTTTCAGTTTGTGCAGCCTGAGGATGTGGACAGGATTATTGGAGGTGAGAGCCACCACATGCGCTCTAGACCCTTGCCCTTCCTGCATTATAAAACAGGCCAGAGGGGGACTGGAGTGGGTCAGGGAAGTGATTAATGTCCCCTTACATCAAGGCTGGGTTCCCATGGGCCTCAAGGAGGCTCTGGTAAGACCACTTCTAAAAAAAACTTTCTCTAGACTCCACTGTACTGGATAACTACAGACCAGTCTCCAATCTCCCATTTTTAGACAAGGTACTGGAGCATGTGATGGCTTCGCAACTCCAATGGTTCCTGGAATGAAGCGGATTATCTAGCTCCAGTTCAGTCTGCTTTTGCGCCTGGTTATGGGACATAGACCGCTTTAGTCACCTTAGTGGATGAGCTACACAGAGAACTGGACAGGGAGAGTATGTACCTGTTGGTTCTTCAGGACCTTTCAGCGGCTTTCGGTACAATTGACCATAGTATCCTTCTGACACTATGGGATGGGTACCACGTTCAGTGGCTCAATTCCTTCCTGGAGGGATGTTCTCAGAAGGTGGAACTGGAGGACTCCTGTTCAACTTTTTGGCCACTGGCCTATGGGGTCCCTCAGGTCCCCTAAGTGTTGTTCAACATATATATGTAACCGCTGGGAGAGATCATTTGGACTTTTTTCTTAAGTGTAGTACTTTACATTTCTCCCTATTGAAATTCATTTGGCCCAGCTCTCCGAAATGTTGAATTCATATTGAATCTTGATTCTGTAATCTGGTGCTTTAGCTGTCCCTTCCTAATTTGATGTCATCTGTAAATTTGCTATTTTCTTACCTTCTTCATTATTTTTGCACTGGGAAGCAGCAGAGGATAAGGGATGGGGGTCCCTGTCTCTTTCTCTTCGGGTCTGCTCCTTCTGGCCAAATAGCTTCCAAGTAGAGCCCAGTTAGAGAAGTGGCTTGCTCAGAAAAAGATGACCAGGGTCGATGAGACTACATCTTTACCACTGATTGCATGGTTGGGCAACTTGTTCTGCTATCCAAGCTATCCTAAGGTGATTTCCCCAGTGGAGCTCTGCTGGGAAACTGTTTGGAAAGACAGCAGCAGGTAGATCACTTTGGAGAAGAAATGAAAATGGCACTAATTTAAATTTTGAGTGTGGACAGTAATACAATTTCAGTGGGTTTATTACAGGTACAGTATATATCATGCTAACAGTGAATCCAGGGGCCGATTCAGGTCTGAATAATCTGCTGGATTAATTCTGTGGTGTAGAAAAGCCCCAGCCCAGGTGTCTATGCTATTATGAGATGTGCAATGTTTTTTTCTTTTAAAATTAATTACCTCTAAATTTGCATCTGTACTTATATACCGCACTTGTTCTTTTTTCCTTGATATATTTTTCTTTTCTGGTGGATAACAAATGAAGAGTGTAATCTAGTTCTTTCTATCATTTCTCAGTGGTTTTTACTGGCCCTAATGTCAGAAAATTGAGCATTAGAAGGAAAATATCTGATTAAACCTCACATTTTGCTCTTAGCATTTCCCCCTGTTTTATAAACAGAAGAAACCATGTAAACACGTGAGTCTGTGAAAATGACTGTGCTCTTTTCGAGACAACAATGTGAATTTCCACAACAAATAAAAGAGTCCAGATCACAAAAATAAAACTCTGGGGGGGAAAAATCAAAGCACTGCTTTGAGAGCAATGGAAACCAAAAGCCTTATTCATTTCTGAGATGTGCTAGAAAATGAAAATTGTAAGGTGTTTCATCCAATCCCTAAAATCTATTCTAGCTACATCCTGTGCATAACACAATGTGTCCTGGAAGTTGCCAAATTCTTGCAGTGCATTAATTGTAGACAGTGTGGGATAGATTAACACCAGGGGTACAGGCCATTCATTAGAGAAGTATCTTGGCTATGTTACTGCTTTATAAAAGAGCTTTTATATTCCCCAGTTACATTCCCTCTAGTCATTCAAAGGGGGCCCTTCAGTGAAGAAAGACTTTCAGGCTTAAACCCATTCTTTATGAAAAAAGTATTGAACAATGCAATGCCTCATTAACAAATCCTGTATTTTAAATTCCAATCCAATTTCACGAAAAGCAAAAATAGCCAGTTAGGAGCCAGCAACTATATTTTCCATGCCATAGTTGTACAAAGAAATGCCACAAGTAGTCAATTTTGGTGATTGGTGTGATGCTACAGCAGCCGCTGATGGAATATTTCAAATAATTACACATCTTTTTATATATAAAAAATCTGTTTGCTGAATGCAGTTTGTTCTCACAAAGGGGAAGGGCCACACCTTAGAGTTACAGTACATGGTAGTGCATTTGGGGGAAACCTTGATCCGTTTCGTGTCCTGACTTTCAATCAGGGCCGCGATCCATTTCGACTGACTCTCCCAAAATCGGGAGATCAGATATTTCTGTTTTCAGTGCCTAAATATCAGTTTTCTTTCGGATCATTATTTCGGGGGGACGGGCTTCGACTCACAGGCCCAAAGCACCCAGGCCTACAGGTGCAGACTTTGGGCCTACACATCCGGGCCTGGCAGGGCCTGCAGATGAGCGTCGAACAAAGAGCACTCCTTACTCGGCACTCGGCTACAGGCCATGGTAGGCCATGGGTGCGTAGGCCCAAAACCTGCACCCATAGGCCTGGGCGCAGCCGAGCACTGGGAAAGGCATACTCCTTACACGGCACTCGGCTGCAGGCCCTGCCGGACCCGGGTGCATAAGCTCAAACTGCCGGGGTGCCTGCAGCCGAGCACCAAGTAAGGAGCGCTCCTTACTCAGTGCTTGGCTGCAGGCCCTGCCAGGCCCCGGCGCTTCAGGCCTACATGTGCGGCAATCAATCCAAAAAGCAGGCTTGGCGCCAGTACCCACTCCCACCTGCCTTTCGTATCGATTGCATTTTCGTTCCAGGAACAAAATGGAAATACAAATCAAATGAATGGGACAAATTTCAGGCCCATGGCTAGTACACAGTTGATAAGCTGAAAGTCTTGCATTGAACCTCCGACATCTTCTTGAAAATATCAGCAAGATGATGCAGAGCAATGGGAGTGACAAAAATGTACCTGCTGTTTCTGACAGCAAGTAGAAGGGTATCTGTTCCCAAATTAATTTTAGTTGTTCATTTGTTCAGTCGCTTCCGACTCTTCGTGACCTCATGGACCAGCCCATGCCAGAGCTCCCTGTCGGCCGTCACCACCCCCAGCTCCTTCAAGGTCAGTCCAGTCACTTCAAGGAAACCATCCATCTTGCCCTTAGTTGGCCCCTCTTCCTTTTTCCTTCCATTTTCCCCAGCATAATTGTCTTCTCCAAGCTTTCCTTTCTTCTCATGATGTGACCTTCAACTTTGCCTCTACTATCCTTCCCTTCAATGAGCAGTCTGGCTTTATTTCCTAAAGTATGGACTGGTTGGATCTTCTGGCGATCCAAGGCACTCTCAGAACTTTCCTCCGGTACCACAGTTCAAAAGCATCTATCTTATTTCCCAAATTAATATGTTTTTAAATATTTTATATTGTGTGCCTTCAAGTTCTTTTTTACCTATAGCAACCTAGGGTGAACCTATCAAAGGGTTTTTTGTCAATATTTATTCAGAAGAGGATTGCCATTGCTTTTCTCTGGGGCTGAAGGAGTGTCCACGGTTGCCCAGTGGGTTTCATGGCCAAGCAGGGATCTAAACCCTGGTCTCCAGAGTCATCGTCCAGCATTGAAATGACAGCATCACACCCTTGCTTTTTTATGAGAATGAGTCCACAAAAAATAAAATATATACAGACCCACCTTTTATTTTTAACATTGCTTTGGAAGATCTTTTTTACTGTTAGCAATGTTTAAGGCTTTTCCTCCTCCACGTTTGTCGGTATAGGGTTAACAACAGGAAATACTTTTTGCCTTAGATCTGCATTTGCATACACACCACTCTCGTCTTGCCATGTATTGATACCATGCCTTCTGTAGTCTGCTGTGTCACAAAACTGAGAATGGCACTTTCTGTGAACTACAGAGTAGCCAGCTGGATCAAGTGTAATCTAAAGAAAATTCAGTAGGCTATGTTAGTTATCAAAATAAAGTTTTAAGCAATACATGTTAACATGTTAAGATGAATCAGAAATTATTCAGTTGAGGATATATTTTTTTCCTCTAGTAAAATGTATATGATTAGATCATTTGGTCCATGTATATTGATGCGTACCACAAGGGCTGTACAATCAATTTTCAATACACAATTCAACCATCCAAGGCTCAAAAATATTTTCAAAACATTCAACAAAGAAAAACTTGACCTTGCTATTTTTATATAAGGGACACAATTTTACCAAGCTCAGTATATGCTGAAAAAAATGAAAACAATTAAAATCAGAAGTCATTGGAAGTCCACTTCAGATTTTATTTTATTTTTTCAAATAATAGTAAAGATAAAGGTTTCTCCTTGACATTAAGGGTAGTCAAGTCCGATTCTGTGTGTGTGTGTGTGTGTGTGCATGTGCTCATCTCAATTTCTAAGCCGAAGAGCCAGCATTGTCCGTAGACACCTCCAAGGTAATGTGGCTAGCATGACTGCATGGAATGCCATTACCTTCCTGCCAAAATGGTACCTATTGGTCTACTCACATTTGCATGTTTTTGAACTGCTAGGTTGGCAGAAGCTAGGGCTAACAATAGGAGCTCTCCCCATCCATGGATTCAAACCACCGACCTTCCAGTCAGTAAGTTCTGCAGCTTAGTGGTTTAACTCACTGTACAACCACAACCCTTCAAATTATGGATACCCTCTATATTTATTCAGCTCACAACTGGTGTTTTTCTAGGCCCAGAAGTGAGTGAGCAAGTAATAAATACATCTTTTATGGGAGAAAAGCAAGTCTGGTGGGAGGTGAGGTGCAAATTCTCTGGGAGCACCTTTGGGCTGCAAAAATGCCCTTGGGCCATTTCCAAGGCTTTCCTGACTTAAAAACTAGTAAAACCAGCAAAAAAGTAAGGACAGAAATTATGAACACTTTTGTAAAAATGGTGGTAAATCCATTGTTTTCCTGAAATAATAGGCAAATAGGATTGTGATGGTGTATGTGAAATCCCTCTTTTCTGTTCTTGTAGTTTCTAGTATATGAGGAGGCTTTTCCTTTCTGTTTCTGCAGTGTATAACAGAAGAATTCGCCATTGTTCTCCTCATCACATTCGCTCAAATTATGTGATAGGATGGAAGACTGTGAATATTCCAAATAATAAATTGGAGAGGTCAGCATTCAATCCAGCTATTAAGAGAAAAGCAAAAAGAATTTAATAGAATTACATAATAGTATGGCTGGGATCTAGAAATACAAGCTGGAATGTGTCCAGAGGAGGGTGACTAAAATGATCAAGGGTCTGGAGAACAAGCCCTATGAGGAGCGGCTTAAGGAGCTGGGCATGTTTAGCCTGAAGAAGAGAAGGCTGAGAGGAGATATGATAGCCATGTATAAATATGTGAGAGGAAGCCACAGGGAGGAGGGAGCAAGCTTGTTTTCTGCTTCCTTGGAGACTAGGATGCAGAACAATGGCTTCAAACTACAAGAGAGGAGATTCCATCTGAACATAAGGAAGAACTTCCTGACTGTGAGAGCCGTTCAGCTGTGGAACTCTCTGCCTCGGAGTGTGGTGGAGGCTCGTTCTTTGGAAGCTTTTAAACAGAGGCTGGATGGCCATCTGTCAGGGGTAATTGGTGTAATTTGAATGCAATACTCCTGCTTCTTGGCAGGGGGTTGGACTGGATGGCCCATGAGGTCTCTTCCAACTCTTTGATTCTATGATCTATGTCAGAAATACGAGTAGAAAGGTTAGGGTAGATGGCACAGAGACTGAGGAATGGGGGGGGGGGGGTGGAAAACACAAACTTGAGAGGTGAGAGATTTATAAAGTAAAGCAATTGATGGAAGATGAACAAAGCCAGTAATGGGATGAGAAATAAGAGGCTTTAGATCAGTGGTTCTCAACCTTCCTCATGTTGCGACCCCTTAATACAGTTCCTCATGTCATGGTGATCCCCAACCATGACATTTTTTGTTGCTGCTTCATAACTGTCATTTTGCTACTGTTATGAATTGTAATTGAAATATCTAATATGCAGGATGTATTTTCATTCACTGGACCATTTTTGGCACAAAAACCTGATACGCCCAAATTTGAATACTGGTGGGGTTGGAGGGGATTGATTTTGTCATCTGGGAGTTGTAGTTGCTGGGATTTATAGTTCACCTACAATCAAAGAGCATTGTGAACTCTACCAATGATAAAATTGGTCCAAATTTCCCACACAAAACCCCCATGACCAACAAAAAATACTGATAGTCTTTGACGACCCCTCTGACATCCCCTCACAACCCCTCCAGGGATCCCGCCCCCGAGTTTGAGAAACACTGCTTTGGGTGAATATAATTCTGAAAATATGTGATAATATAGGGAAGTGATTTTGCCTAAGCTGGGACATGTTGTAAGGGAACTAGAGGAAACAGGAAAAGCAAAGATAGGAACTACATTTTACATATTAACTTGTAATAAATAGATGTTTTATGTGCTTAATGAGATCAAAATGTTCGGGGGGTGGGGGGCAGAGAGATCTGCCCCCATGTTTATAGACATTTTGTGTGCATATACAAACTATGCTCTCCATTATGAGTCACCATGGTTACAAAAATATCCTGCCATGATTCTCATTGTACTAAAACCCCTGGCACATAAAACCAGGAATCTAGACCAAAGCATTACACATCAACACACTTTCCATCCTCATTTATTGGCTCAGAACTGCAATAAAGAGTCCATTTAAAAGCATCATAAGAACCACAGACACATAGAAACAAATTAGCATTCCTTTGATGCATTTAATCCACGGAGTCTCTATTACAGTAAAGTTAAAACTTTCAGGGCTCATAGAAATGAATGCCAATATACAATAAAACAATTTTGTAATTCCAATTAAGCACCATCCTTGCTCAGAAAATAATGCAAATAGTTTTTTCCCCATGTCTTTCTTTCATCCTGGAAAAATGTGGTAAGACAAGTGATTTGTTGCAAGTGATTTGCCAATTAGCCCATTAGAAAAGCTCATGCATGCTCAAATGCTCATGTGCTATATACTTTGGATACTTCTTAAATGTTAAGACATTAAAATTTCACTAAAGCCGACTGCAATTGCTATATATCTATTGCTATATATCAAAAACTGTTAGGTCTGCACAATCAATTCCCTTGATAGAAGCTGCATGGAAACACCTCCTTGTGGCAATGATTCAGTATGCCATGATCCTTGTGTATATAGAACTTAGGGGAAGGGAAACACTTTCTACTCCCATATACTTACATATGGTTGATAGTCATAAGGTGGAACGTAGTCTATTTTGTATGTTGTATCCAGAAGCCTGTTAAATAGAAGACACAAAACAGCAGTTGTCCTCAGTGTTACACATTTATCTACTTTATATGTAAGAACACTTAAAAATAATCTATAATTATATAAATCTGTGTGTTCCTTAGCAAGAGAACATAAAGTGCTTGAAAATGATATTTTCAGAGGATATACCCAGAACGTTTGGTATATTGTTTACTAATTACACATTGCACAATTTGTCCCCATTTGGATTTGGCAGAAATATCCTTTTTGCCATCACCCAGTATCATTACCATTTAGTAGGTAAATCAGTCTTTCAGGGCCTTAGGCACAGTCGCTTAATTTTCCTAGTACAGAAAAAAAAAACAATTTAGAGGGTTTGTTTGGGGTTTTTTCCCAATGGAATGTCTTAGTGCCAGTCAGCTCTAATTCTTTAGTCTTAATAATATTTAGTTGTTTACACTCCTAGTAAATTGTAAACAATGCAGCGTATCAGTTACCTATTGTTCTTATATGGCAAATAACATACCTCAGTTTCATGATATTAAGTACTACAGGTCAAGAAAATTATATATATATATATATATATATATATATACGCTGATCTATGCACAAACCATCTTTAATTAATATAACTAAATCATATAGTAGCATGGTGAGTGTTGATATATATCTATATCTCAGCTTAACCCTGGAAACTGCTGTATAAGTTACCTCAACAGAGGAAAGGATTCAATGCATAATGGGTTCTCCGGGATGTTAATTATGAAAAAGGCTTATCTAGTCCTCACATCTAGTCCTGTAACACACTTCTAGAGGAACAGAACAAAGGAGCTGAAACAAATAAAGGAATCAACTCAGGGCTCTTCCAGACATGACTAAATCCTGAGAGGAACTGGGATATTAAGTCCCAGTTCCTTCCGGGATTTAGTCTCCACCTCCAACCTAAACCTCTTTCTTTATGGAGTCAGGGAAGAGAAATGTTAATTTCCACTCTCTCCTGAGATTTGGAGTGGCCATTAGCAGATAAGTCCAGTATTTCAAATTGAATTCTTGAATCCATAAATGTATGTTATTACCTTCAATGCCAAATTTATTCTTCCAGACCACCTTACAAATAAATTGCAATGTACAGTAAAATGGAGATGGACATTAAAATGTTGTATTTTGTCTTAAGGTAACATATGCTAGTCATTCCCAGTTTTTGTTGAACATATAATTAGTTACAGCATAATAGAAACCAACAACGACACTAAATTTTAGCAATACACACTATAAATGAAAGTATGTAACAGTGAGGCATACTAAAGTGACATATTCATTTTATGTTTGGAGTAGTATTGAATTTTTTGCAAATAAAATTTAATATAATTTTGAGAGCATTTTTGGGAAACAATATGGTGGAGATTTTTAACTAGGTAATTCCACCTTTCATGGCCCATCCTGTCTTTCATTACTTTTTATCACTCTAGGATGGAGCTGCAAATGACCTAATATTAAAGGCTGAAAAGGACAGAGAAGTGGAAGGAGCAGGAAAAGGAATCCTGCAGTGCAGTGCCTTGAAATGCAGTTTGTATAGGTAGGAAGTAAGAAAGATGCAGTATATGTGTTTGGTTGGGCGGAGTAGAAGCAAGTGCACAGGCAAGAACTCAAGGACAAACCAGCAAAAGAATAGGCAAGAATATGAACAGAGAGAGATGGAAGGAGTCTGGTAAAAGAGACAACAATAAATGGAGAATAAGGGAAAGAAAGGCAGATTATATTTGGTTGTTCATTTTTATGGGAGATGTTGCTACCTGCCACTGTTGTTCCTTGATTCAAGCAACAATAGAGAAACCACAACATTCACTCTTGGGAAAAATTGTATTGTACCCTCATAGCTAGAAGGGAAAGAATCAGCTGGTAAAGCACAGATTTGCATCTCTCCAATGCACATGGCTATTTCTGCAGAAATGGTCCATTTAAGATAAGTGGTACTGAGAGTGATCATTTCCCCATATATTACTTTGAGTTTCCATATAACAAAGCAAAAGGTATTTGTTATTTTCAATGTGTTGTGAATGCAAAATGCTTTTCTCTTCCATTTTGTCTCTGAATCTATTTATCTTTTTCTATCCTTTACAGACTACAGAAATGGAAACGAATCGTATAATGGAAATGAATAGCAGCAGAGCAATGCCTTCAGGCAATCAAGAGATACTGTGCCAATATTATTGTTGAATTAACTGTCTGTTTTATGTACTATATATCTTCATGATCCTGGAAATCTGAAACAATTTAGTCATATGCTCCCAGCCATTTTGAATGCTTGAGATGGAAAGGAGATATTCCAGCCATGTTTAATAGGGGCTTACTATGAAAGCCTTGCAATGCTGCAACCATTTTAAATAGGGGCTTACTGTATAAGCTCCCACATTGCTGCTGAATGCCGCTTAGGATGAATGCCCTCAATTTACATATGAAGTCAGTTTATACATGAGTATATATGGTATCTTTTCTTACTAAGAATGAAATACTTCCTGTTATTTACAAATAATATTAATAACACACACACACATACACAATTTTTATCATGTGTGACTATTGATGTGGGGTAGAATGGTTCTTTCACACAGCTGAATAAAATCCGACATTATCCGCTTTGAACTGGAATATACGGCAATGTGGACTCAGATAACACAGTTCAAAGCAGATATTGTGCGGTTTTCTGCCTTGATATACTGGGTTACATGACTGTGTGAAAGGGCACTTGGTCCATATTTAAAGCTTTTTTGTTTTCTGTCTATGTTTGCATCTTTCTCTCTTTTTCTAACCTCACCCATTCCCTCTCAATAGTAGGTGAAATTGGATTCTTCAAAGTTTATGCAACTACTCATTTCTCTTGAGTAAAAAAAAAAAAAGGACAAGGGGAGAGTGAATGAAATGAGGTGTTTCGTTTGCATTGTGGTCAATGTTTTCGAATTGTAATGTAACACAAATTTAAAGATCCAGCCAGTATCAATGGAATTTAAATCAAAATCTCAATACAATTAATGTGAAGTTTGGAGGATTTAGGCTTTTTTGTACAAACATAACACACTGGCACTTCTTCATTAGCTTTCCTTTTCTATATCAAAGGAAAGTGGGGAAAATGATAGCAAATATAACCATTAGGTTGCTGCGAGTTTTCTGGGCTCTGTGGCCATATTCAGGAAGCATTCTCTCCTGACATTTCACCCACATCTATGGCAAGCATCCTCAGAGGTTGTGAGGTCTGTTGGAAATAAGGCAAGTGGGGTTCATATATCTGTGGAATGTTCAGGGTGGGACATAGATGTGGGCGAAACGTCAGGGGAGAATGCTTCTGGAACATGGCCATACAGCCTGGAAGACTCACAGCAACCCAGTGATTCCAGCCATGAAAGCCTTCAACAACACAACATACCCATTAATTTGGTCACTTAGATGTAGTTATTATTAAAACAACAGCTCTAAAAGTAACCTGACTGACAGGGAAATATTTCACTGGATTTGGTCAAAGACACAGAAGAATGGGAGGCAGCACAAAAACATTGGAGTGAAAATTAATATCATATTAGTAGTTTTCTGATGCAATATTCTACCATTTATGTGCTTAACTACACCAAAACAGTAGGTTCTACACACTGGTAGCTACAACCTAAAACAGTAATTACTGCAATTGCTTTTTCGGTTAATATTTTATAGATCTTTTCAAATTCCAAAGCAGAGACATTTGATATCCAGAACATCATTCCTAAACTAGCTATCAAAGTTTGGTATTTTGCACTACAGCTCCCAGAACTTCCCTGTCATGGGATTCTGGGAGTTGTAGTCCAAAATACATATTTGTAAGTTCTTGATCAAAATTTGCATATACTAACATTTTAAAACGATTTGGAGAATGACGTGGCAATATAGCTCCAACCCCTGTCTCAGGTCGTCCTGTCTCCCTGAAAGAATCAAAGAGAGAGACATAATTTCAGACTACAAGCAAATTAAAATAATTACATACAAGTCCAATTTTAGGTCTACTCAGAAGTACAAGCCGCTGAATTGAATGAGGCCAGCTTCTCTTTTATCCCCATCAAGTTTTCATACCACCTTAACCCAAAACTGCTTTAGACATAGCTGACATTCTTCCTATAGTTATCACAGTATGTTTCTGGAAATGGTCACTACCGCTCTCTACTGGACAGGCTAGCTAAGACATGTACTGTACATTAATTTATTTTAAGTTTACTTCTGAGGTGATTGAACATTAAAGTTATCCTCATTTAGCAGGTATCTCTAGTACACAGAAGAATCTTCTGTCTTGTCAACAGGGAGCTTGGTACAATTTTTACTTTACACTACATTCATCAAAATGGAGAATGCCAAGTAATATTTTCACTTTCTGCCGAGTATTCCCTTGGTGAACTATCAACTATATTACAGATATGTGGAATACATGTAGGAATTCTTGGAATCCAATATACATGGCAATAAATATTTCTGAAAATAAGTACTAGAAGGCAGAATGGTAGTAGCGGAAAAATAAACCCATAATATGTTCTATATCTCATAACATATTTAAATTGTGAATATGGATTCAAAAGCATTCAGAGATACCTTTCAAGAACACCAATTTCAAAATTATCTTTATCCAACATAAGCTTGTGTATATCCAGCTCTTTATACTCTTTAATTCTATAGGGTTGAGACAAATAATCTTGATTTGTGGTTATCCATTTCTAAAAGGAAATATAAGGCAAGAAAGGAAAGACATTTTAAAGAAAAATCCCAGCTGTCAGCTTAGTAGTAGTAGTAATAGTAATGTTATAAGCAATGTATCTGTTATTTACTTATTATGGGACATACAGTAAATATTTTAATTCCATATCATATGATATCAAGGTAGCACAAATAAATCAATGTAAACCATTCAAAGCCATTTAACATTTATAACAACCAAGATCAATTTAGATAAATTGTTTAAAATGTTTTTAATATAACATGTTAAAAGCATCCACATGTACTTCATGCTTTTACAAGTGTTCTTTTGAAACTAGTTAAGGCCCATTAATTTTTATAAGCAAAGCATTTTTTCAGGGAGATTATGTCCCTTCTTCTTTCAATTAAACCTATCTTGCCTTAGCTGTCCCTCAGAGCTTCAGCCTTATCTGATAATTCTTCATTCTCCAACTTGTGTCCTAGACACACTTACTCACAAAACCTTGTCTTTTTGACCCAATGAGTGTTATTGTTGCAATGCAATTGTTGTGTGGGAATCACTGAATATTCTGAAAGTTGTTGGACTGCAATTCCCAATATTCATCCCCATTGGGTAGGCTGACTATGTCTTATGAGAGTCCAATAACATATGGAGAGAGGCATGATTCCCACTCCTGACATATGTGCATGTTTATGCACCTTCAAATTGCCCGTCGACTTATGGCAACCCCATGAATTTCATAGGGTTTTCCCAGGCAAGGAGTACTAAGAAGTGTTTTTGCCATTTCCTTCTTCTGAAATTTAACCTAAAGCCCCTGGGATTCGTTGGCAGTTTCCCACCCAAATAATAAACAGAGCCAGACCTGCTTAGCTTCCAAGATCAGGCAGGATCTGATGCCTTTAGGGCAGTGAATCCTAACCTGTGGTCCCCAAGAACTAAAATATGGTCCGTGGCCTCTCCGTTACTACACGGTTGCAACGATACCCTCTTATAGTGCCGAGGCAACGGGGATGTTGGGAAGGGAGAGGCTGATTACCCATGAAAGGCGTGACAACAAGCCTCCTGACTGCTGCTTCTCCTCCTCCTCCCTCCCCCTGAACAGAGCCATTCCATGTGGTGCCTGGAAACGGGGGTGCCTTGATGTCTTCATTTTTAGGCCTGTTCCTGGGGTTATTTGCAGTGCTGATTCAGAAAACTGCATTGAATAAACCACATCAGCTCTAGATTATTAAATATGGTTTCCTGTGGGTGAGCAGATGGTGACTACTAGATGGCATATGTTCTGTATCAGAAACTAGAGCTGATGTGGTCTATCCAATGCAGTTTTCTGAATCAGCACCTCAAATAACCAAACCAAATCTAAGGTTGACTAAAAACCGATTCATAACCCTTTTGGTACTAATGTTGCAGAGTGGTCCCTGGTCAAAGTGATCCCTAGTAAAGTGCTCCTTGATCAAAAAAAGATTGAGAACCACTGCTTTAGGCTATTTATACCTATCTTCTGATATATACCTAAATGCGATTTTGTTCCAATTACAATAACAATTAATCAATAACAGTTTAGTAAGTCAATATTTAAAATAAATTATGTTAATTCAATGTTTTTATTCTGATAGTGTCTGTATTGGATTTAAGGCATTGTTGCTCCATCATCTTTTGGGGAAGGTTCTGATTAAGAGCAAATTTCCCCACTGCTTTCAGTGCTTCTAAATAAATAAAGTATAACAAATCAGACTTGGTTATTTTAAATACAAATGTTTGAATGTAATTATAAAATTGTACATCGGTAAATCGTTTCATGTCATGTACTCCCTAGCATCTGCTATATGATCAATCTTCAACACAAACAATTCATTTCCACTTAAACCAGTGCTCACACTTGTTGAGAGCTACATTAATGTAAGGCCATATTTGAGGACTGGATTTGAGATTAGCCTCAGAAACTTTAGGAAGAAATGCATCCAATAGACTCAGATCCTATTAATATCAAAGTGTGGCAAATTCTCCAGTCCCCTGCTGTATGAATTATGGTAGCTTCAATGTTTCTAACAGACAAGAATAGCTAAGCCTGCTTATCATCAGTTTCCTGCTGTGTGGCTTGCACTCCATTTATAACATTTGATTTCTATTCCATTGAGCAAGATTCTTAGGTGAATGTGTAAAGTTCCACTCATTATTTTGTGATGGTTCATTGACATACACAGATTATCACTTATTGGTGCTCCAAGAACGTTATGGGCGTACATTTAATGGTAAATCTGCCAAGAATTATATAAAACATGGAAGAGTACAAGACAGCACCTTTGAACTTTAAATGAAAGAATATAAAGAGCTCAAGACTGGGAGCATCTACACTGTAGAAATAATGCCATGGTGCAATGCTATGGAGTAATAGGAGTTGTAGTTTTACAGGACCTTTAGTTTTCCCTGCCAAAGAGTACTGGTGCCTCATCAAACTACAACTCTCAGAAATCAATAGCATTGGACCATGAAAGTTAAAGTAGTGTTAAGCCGCACTAATTGTACAGTGTAGAAGTACCCACTATCTTTTAAACTAACCTGAGATCAAATTCAATGTTAAACATTAGTACTTCATATAAATGATAGAAAAGTCACTTTCTTACCTGATCCATGGTTCCAAGACGCCAGTAGGTAGAGCGACATAAATTTTTAGAGCCCAAAGAAATGTCATGTATATCATAATCCTTAGGTTCAGTTTCCCTATTCCAGTACCTTTAAATAATTGAAAAGGTACTAACAATTATGTAATAGTAGCAGCATTAAAGAGATACACACAACAGCATACTCATCTACATTTTACAATTGAGAACCAGGACACATGTAGTCAAGTAATTGATGCTGAAATTCACCTACCCACCAAAGGAGCAGGATGACAGTCTGATGCCTAGCATACCCTGCTACTTTACCAGCCAGATCAATATGCAAACCGGATTTGAAGGCCACAGAAACAGAGAGTAATTACTTTCAGGTCTAAAAGGATGCCTGATACAGAGTTTCTGCTCAAAAAGATTGGATACAACCATGGAATACAGTGCAAGATCTTTTATAAAAGGCATGGGCAAACTTGAGCCCTTGAGGTGTTTTGGACTCAAACTCCCACAATTCCTTAAGCAGCTGACGGGGAAAAGGAAGGGACCTGAGGCTGTTAGAAATTGTGGGAGTTGGAGTCCAAAACACCTCAAGGACCCAAGTTTGCTCATGCCAGTTTTATACCCTTTGACAGCCATTCAACATTCTTGCACACTCCCGATTGGCCAGAAATTGACCTGGCTTCAATCTGGGTCCTAGTTGGTTGGGGAATGCTCATAATATCAGGGGTGGATGGCATCCCCTCCATGGTGGGAAAAACAAGCAACTGATTGGTAGACTTGGAACCCAAGTCATTTGGAATGGCCTGTCCGGAAAGGAGGCAGATAGGCAAACACATGGTGAATTAGTATGTTCAACCATTCATGGTGGGATTATTGATCACGTTCAATTTGCACAAAGGTTGAGCCTCAGAACACAATAGAACTGTTATGTAGATATGATTAGTTCAATGAAAAACATAAATTTTATGTTATTGGTGTCTGACAGCCACTCATCTCTGGATTCCCTCAGAAGATTGAAGTTTCTTTTATCAGGATGTGGGAATTCCAACTGGCATTGTCTGTCCTTGATGGACTCACATCATGGTAGGTGGGCTACTGGCAAAAGCCCCTCGGGTACATACAATGGTTTGCGATTAATATATTCAGCACTGCACTTTCATCCCATGCCCTGTTCCTTAGCTGCAATTTGCACTATCCCATTCCCTCGTCTTGTTTACAGTTTGGCCATGTCTTATGGTAGTTGTCACCAGAGGTCATTGGGCGTTGTTATGAGTTATAAATTGTTGTTTATATGATATAGTTTTACTTTATTGTATTGTACTGTGTGTTTATTTTATGTTTTTCTTTAGGCACTTTGTGCCATATGTAAACCGCTCTGAGTCCCTTGGGGGAGATGGAGATGGGATACAAGAATAAAATTGTTATTGTTATTGTTGTTATACACAAGCAGGATATTTGATTTAACCCCCCCCCCCCCCATATACTGGACTGCATCCATTCAAATATGTTTCCTCACTCCAGCACATGTGATCATGGTTTTTAATACAGAGTCCATATGTATGAGTCCCAAAAAGATTATAATAATGTGTATAATACAAAGGAGGGAGCCCCGGGTCACGCAGTGGGTTTAAGCACTGAACTGCCGTGCTTGTTGACCGAAAGGTCACAGGTTCGATTCCAGGGAGCGGCGTCAGCATCCGGTGTCAACCCCAGCTTCTGTCAACCTAGCAGTTCGAAAACATGCAAATGTGAATAAATCAATAGGCGGGAAGGTAATGGTGCTCCATGCAGTCATGCTGGCCACATGACCTTGGAGGTGTCTACGGACAACGCTGGCTCTTCGGTTTAGAAATGGAGATGAGCACCACACCCCAGAGTTGGACCCAACTGAACTTAATGTCAGAGGAAAACCTTTACCTTTACCTATAATACAAAGGATATTTCAAAAGAAACTACAGATGTACAATTCTGAGGTGCGGAACAAAGCTCCTTTGTTAAGGGTTTTTTGGAATAGACTTACTGATCTGGGTTTTGTAGGCACACATTTCCTGTTCGCTTCCCCCCCACCGGGATTAAGTTTTGGTGAAAGATTAAATAATCCCCTCTGGAACATGTAGTTTCTGACTGGGTTGCTGGAGACAAGGTCTATTGCAAGGCACCAGAATGGAGCGGCTCCACTACTGCAAAACTATTGAATATACAGAAATATTAAATAAATTATAATTTGGTTTAGAACAGGCATGGGCAAACTTTGGCCCTTCAGGTGTTTTGGACTTCAACTCCCACAATTCCTAACACCCTACTGGCTGTTAGGAATTGTAGGAGTTGAAGTCCAAAACACCCGGAGGGCCGAAGTTTGCCTGTGTCTGGTTTAGAGCCTTGTATTGGTCACAACGGTAAGGTTTAATAGGGAAATAAATAGAAGCTAGGAGAGTCTGCAGCAGTTTGCTTTTGCCTGAGCCTCCTCTTCTGTTGCCTCCCCTTCTGAGTTGAGTGCTAGCTAGTTTTGCATTTTGGATTCAGGTTTCAGCAACTGAAGTAAGCCAGGTGTCAATTTCATAGTCACAGCAATAAAAACAGGCACCGTACTATATAAAATATGATCCAGATCAATCGGTAATGGTTTTGTTTCCTTACCAGCCATACACAAGAGTTGGTCTCCCATAGCAGGCCTGTTTGGAGCGCAAAGTCAGCGCTCCTTTGCGCTCCATCACATCCGTGGGGCCGATTTCCATTTCCAAAATCTTCTTGGACAACTTCTTTATCTTAAGCCTCAATAAGCAATTCTTCTTTTGCAAGGCAGACTTCTCACTTGGTTCACATCAATTCAGTCTTAACAAGGGTGTGTGAAAGAGAGAGAGAGCCCTGCCTACAATACCTCACTCTCTATGCATAAGTCAATAAAATAAAAACAGAAGAACTTCCCAACCTGGTGACCCATCTCTAGCCTAAGCTAACAAAGCAGGAGGCCAGCGGCTTTGGTGCTTGGAGACACACAGCCATCTCCATGGCGACGAGCGATGCTGCAGAGAGAAAGGATCCTGGAGATCGTTCCACACAAAGGCCGGAACTACTTTTTCACAGGCATCCTTCAAAGCAAATAAACTACAACTCCCATTATATAGTCACAAGCTGAGAAGCCATTCGTCGGGCCGTTTCCTTTCGAGTAAGGCCAGAGAAGGAGACATATATTGCTAGCTGGCTGTCTCTCTTCATAACTTGAGGAATGGTTAAACACAGTTAAATATATATATAGATGAAAACATAAATCCTTTAAAACAAATGTACACTGGACTCTCCGTTAACCAGAACTCAAACAACTGGCAATTTAAAAAAAATCAAAAACCTGAAGCATACTGTATTCACAAGGCTCTTTTTATAATATACCAAAACTATGTTGCATGAAGTGTGTCTTTATTTGCTTTTAATTACTGTATTCCCATATTAATATTAAGACAATACAGAGTTTGTGGTATGCTATAGGATGGGGTAACAACAATAATAATCTATATAAATAAAAATGTAATGTTCGTTTGTGATATTAACAGAACTTAAAAACCACAGGGGGAATTGCCATCAAATTTGGACACCAGACACTATGTCAAGCAAGCTATGTCCTCCACTCACAAAAATCCCAAAAAACACTTTCCCTCCCTCCCCCCTCAGAAAGACATCCAACTGTAAGCCTCAGGGAGGGAGGGGGGAGGGAAGGAGTGCATGTGCATGGCCAGCAGTGAGTGCGCGTGCACAGCAGGCTCCCACGGGAGGAGGCTCTCCATTCAGGAGCTGGAGGAAAAGCCCTCATCCCCGCAGGTCTGCCTCTTCAAAGTTCATCTCTCCAGATCTGACTAATCTACCGTCGATGGGATGGATTCAGGAGAAACTCTGCGGAAGCAAACACAATCAAGCTCAGAGAAGATCCATTGATAACCCAGGCTCAGAATACAGAAACCCCAATCCTATTCATGGGGCTTGAATGGGGCAGGAAGACCCCATTCAAGCCCTCCCAACAGATGGCCTTCCAATTCCAACCCCATTCTGCCAGGCAGGAAGACACCATTCATTCTACAAATACTCTGCTGTTACACCAGCTCCACTGGCTGCCAATTAGCTTCCGAGCACAATTCAAAGTGCTGGTGTTAACCTATAAAGCCCTAAACGACTCCGGCCCTGCTTACCTCTCCGAACGTATTCTCCCCTACGTACCATCAAGATTACTAAGATCGTCTGGAGAGGCCCTGCTCTCGGTCCCACCGGCCTCACAAGCGCGCCTGGTGGGGACGAGGGACAGGGCCTTCTCGGTGGTGGCCCCGCAACTCTGGAACTCTCTCCCACTGGAGGTCAGAACCACCCCGTCTATCCTGACATTCAGGAAACGGGTGAAGACGTGGTTGTGGAGACAGTCTTTCGATGAATGAGACAGCACCCTAGGATTGTGGATGAAAGATGAGGTATACTTGTTTTTAATATGACGACTGACCACCGTAGTTTTAAATATAGTTGTTATTTTAAATGTGTTATTGTAATTATGAACTATGATATTTTACTGATTGTATGTTTTTATGGTTGTAAACCGGGCTGAGTCCCTCTAAGAGGTGAGAAGCTCGGTATAGAAAACTTTGAAATAAATAAATAATAAATAAATACAAATATAGCATCCCAAGCATATAGGATCAAATAGCATAATAATAATAATAATCCAAAATAATAAAAATATCAACTATAATAGGCTTTAATTCAATGATATGACACATAAAAATCTATCCCAAAGAACTGCAAAATATTGAACTGGCCCAACAAAGCCATACAGCTATGTAATAATTGGCAATATATATCTATAAATTTATATAACCCTTTCAAAATATTTTTGATAACATGTTAATTATAAAATACTTATTTAATTTTAAAATATTTAATTATTTTCATTTAAAAATATTTAACTTTTGAATACTTCATTTAGATATTTTAAGTTTGAAATATTTGTTTAATTTAAACATATTTTAATATTTTCAATATAAAATATTTAATTCTTTAGTTCTAAAATATTTCATTTACATATTTTGATTTTAAAAATTATTATTTACATTACATTATTTTATTTTAATATTTCAATTTTAAAATATAAAATTGTTTAATTTTAATATTATTTCTTTAATTTTAACATTATAATTTATACATATTTAATATTTACATTTCATAATACATTATTTTAATGTATTTTATTTGGTTTAATTATGAAATATTTAATTACTTAATAATTTGATTTTTTAAAAAATTATTTAATTTCAAATTATTTAATTTTAATGTTTTAATTTTAAAATATTTAATTGTTTACCTTTACAAAATTTAAATCTAAAAATACTTAATTAACTTTAAAATATTTTACTGTTAGTATTTTAATTTAAAAAATATTTAGTTGTTTACTTTTCAAATATTTTCCATATCACCAAGCTAGGGAAGGGGCCCTTTGATGCCACGCACAGAAGGACGGGCGCGGGAAACCCTTTGAGGTATAGGAAGGGGCCCCAAAGGCTATCCAGTCCAACCTCATTTTACAGTAAAGGAAGACATCATCAAAGCCCTCCCGACAAATGGTCAACCAGTTTGAAGGGAGTCCCAGAGGCCATCCAGTCCAACCCCCTTTGTCTGTCTGTATGTCCATCTACCCTTCAATCCATCAATCACTCCATCTACATATCTATCTACCTACTACCTACCAACCTATCTATGTTCTATCCATCGACCTTCTGTTCCATCTATCAATGTCCCTTCCATCTGTCCCTTCTGTCTATTGCTTCAACTGGAATTCCTCTCTTATCTGAGGGCCACAGCAACGTGTGGCAGGGTACAGCTAGTCTATATAAATAAAGATGTAATGTTCATTTGTGGGATTAACAGAACACAAAAACCAGTGGACCAATTGACACCAAATTTGAACAGCATATACCTAACAACCCAATGTATGTCCTTCACTCAAAAATTTTTGATTTTGTCATTTGGGAGTTGTAGTTGCTGGGATTTGTAGTTCACCTACAATCAAAGAGCATTCTGAACTCCTCCAATTATGGCATTGAACCAAACGTGGCATACAGGCATCCCATGACCAACAGAAAACACTAGAAGGGTTTGGTGGGCATTGACCTTGACTTTGGGAGTTGTAGTTCACCTTCATCCAGAGAGCACTATGGACTCAAACAATGATGGATCTTGACCAAACTTGGCACGAATACTCCATATGCCCAAATATGAACACAGATGGAGCTTGGGGGAAATAGACCTTGACATTTGGGAGTTGTAGTTACTGGGATTTATAGTTCACCTACAATCAAAGAGCATTCTGAATCCCACAAACAACAGAATTGGGGCAGATTTCCCACACAGAACCCCCATGACCAACTGAAAATACTTCAGGCCATCCAGTCCAACTCTCTTCACCAAGGCAAGAACATGTAATCAGAGCCCTCCTGATAAAGAGCCATCCAGTCATAAATATAGATAATAGATATGATTCACACAGAGAGAGATATATAGTATCATAGATTTAAAAGGGACCCCTAAAGAAGGACTATGATATTTTGCATATTCCAAAGTAGGCAAACCAGACACACCCCACATCAACACTGACAAAGAAACAACAGGAAATACTGTTTACCCATAAGCATAAAGAAATTACATATATTGAAACCCCAACATTTTCTCATTACTTTATTGTCCAGATCATCAGACTGGGCCACAGCAACGCATGGCAGGGGACGGCTAGTAATAATAATAATAATTTATTTGTGTACTGCCCTATCTCCTTGAAGGTAGTCAGTGCAGTTTCCAACATATAAGGTAAAACACTCAATTGCCAAGAATAAATTCATACAGATTAAAATAAAAGTATCATAAAACACAAAAATCCTACTAAAACACAACAATAAAAATTAAAACAAATTGCAATTATAACTCCATCAGACAAGGTTCAACAAAAAACAGGACTACAAAATGGGCATGGTCAACTATAAAATGGCTGGGCAAGGGAGAGTGCAAATAGGGTTGGGGAAATGGAGAAACTGCAGAACAGAGTACTAACTGATGACCTAGGGAAGGGCCTAAGTACTAATAATTCTCAAAAACCTGCTGAAAAATCCAGTTTTTCAGGACCCTACGAAAGGTGGGCAGTGTGGGGGCTTGCCTAATCTCCATGGGGAAGGTGTGCCAAAGTTGGGGGTCCACCACCAAGGAGGCCCTCTCCTTCATCCCCTCCAACCATGCTTGTGATGGAGGGGGAAGCGAGAGGAGGGCCTCCCCAGCAGATCTTAAGAGCCCATGCCAGTTCATAGGAGAGATGTGATCACAAAGACAGGCAGGGCCCGAACCATTTAGGGCTTTGTAGGTCATATCCTGCACCTTGAACTGGGACCAGAACGTTATTGGCAGCCAGTGGAGATACTTTAATAGGGATGTTGTGTGCTCCCGATAATTAGCTCCAGTTAGAAGCCTGGCCGCCAACCTTTGTGACAAAGGCGGGATCGAGAGCAGGGCCTCCCCAGACGATCTTAAAGTCCTAAATAGTTCATAAGGAGAGATAAGTTCGGACAGGTAAGTTGGGTCAGAACCATTTAGGGATTTATAGGCTAAAGGCAGCACTTTGAATTGTACCCGGTACCAGACTGGCAGCCAGTGGAGCTGGTGCAGCAGAGGAGTTGTCTGCTCCTTGAGCGCCGCTTCCGTTAGCAATCTGGCTATCGTCCGTTGGACCATTTGAAGCTTCCGGACAATCTTCAAAGGCAATCCCACATAGAGTGCGTTGCAGTAGTCTATACGGGGATGTAACCAGAAAACAAGCTTACTCCCTCCTCCCTATGAATTCCCCTTATATATTTATACATGGACTTCATCATGTCTCCTCTCAGCCTTCTCTTCTTCAGGCTAAACATGCCCAGTTCTTTAAGCCGCTCCTCGGGGGGCTTGTTCTCCAGGCCCTTGATCATTTGAGTCGCCCTCCTCTGGACACATTCCAGCTTGTCAACATCTCCCTTCAACTGTGGTGTCCAGAATTGGACACAGTACTACAAATGTGGTCCCCTCTTAACCTTTCATTCCCCAGACCAAACATACCCAGCCCCTTGAGTATGTTTGGTCTGGGACATAGTTTCCAGATCTTTGACCACATTGTCAGAACTTTTTCTTGAACCGTGGCACTTAGAGCTGGACAGAGTCTTTCAGGTGAGATCTGACCAAAGCAGAAAAGAGTGGCACAATGAACTGAATTGGAGTTTGGTACTGTTGCATTTGGATTGCAAGTCTTAGAATCATAGAATCAAAGAGTTGGAAGAGACCTCATGGGCCATCCAGTCCAACCCCCTGCCAAGAAGCAGGAAAATTACATTTAAAGCACCCCCGACAGTTGGCCATCCAGCCTCTGTTTAAAAGCCTCCAAAGAAGGAGCCTCCACCACACTTCGGAGCAGAGAGTTCCACTGCTGAACAGTAAGGACGTTCTTCCTCATATTCAGATGGAATCTCCTTTCTTGTAGTTTGAAGCCATCCACTGCAGAATGGAGAGTGTTTTGGTGGTTGCTACAAACCTTCCAAAACCCCACAACATCCCCTGGCTCCCTGCATTTCGGATGAGGGGATACTCAACCTGTGCAGACGGAGCGAAAGATAACAAATGCGCCTCTCTGCCAAGGCGATGGGGATGATTACTAGGATGATGAAAGCTGCCTCTCTCTCTCTCTCTCCCAGCTTGCTGGCTTTGACTGCTCCGCCCTGCGGGGGCCACTGACCCGGATGCGCTTGGCTTTCTCCGCTCTGCCAATGAGAGGCGGCGACAGTGCCGCCCGTTGTAAGCTGCATAGGCGGCAGCAGCAGCAGCAGCAGTATTAGGAGTAGCAGCCGAAGGAGCAGCAGCAGCAACGGCGGAAGATGGCCGAGTCCCCGGAAGAGGTGGCGGTGCTGGTGCAGCGGGTGGTGAAGGACATCAACAACGCCTTCAAGCGCAACCCGCACATGTGAGACCCGGCGCGCGCGCCCAGGAAAGGGAGGAGAGGGAGGGCGCGCGGGTGGAACGCTCCCCAACAACTTCCTCCCTCCTTCCTTCCTTCTTTCCTTCTTCCCCAAAAGAAGGAAAGAAAGAAGGAAGGAAGGAGGAGGCAGTGTCTTCGCCTCTTGTCTTTCTTCAGGGAGGGAAGGAGGGAGGAACTTAGTTCTTGGGAAGCAAAGGAAAAGTTTACCCATGCCCTTTCTGCAAAATGGGGACAAGATCAGGAGGAACCCTTAGCCACCGCCTCCTTCCTCTCTTTCTCATCTCACCCAACTTCAGGTCTTACTTGTAGCTAAAAGAAAGCTAAAGGGGAAATACTACCCCTTTGCAACATTGATTTAACAAAGGTTTTGTTTTTGTTTTTGTTTTTTTAAAAAAAGGTCCAGCAGCTCGCCTTTGCAAAGTTTGGTGTTGGTAGGAGAGTTTGCTCCTCCGAGTGGATGGAAAAGTTAACCTGCTTAGGGTTGGATCATATAATGCAGTTTGGAATTGCGTTATATGGGTCTATGTTGATCATATCATGCATAGTATGGGTCTACACTGCATTATATGGGTCGACACCTATCATATCATGCATTGGTAGGTCTACACTGCATTATATGGCTCTACATTGATCATATTATGCATAATATGGCTCTATACTGCATTATATGGGTCTACACTGATCGTATCATGCATAATATGGGACTACACTGCATTATATGGGTCTACACCTACCATATCATGCATTGGTAGGTCTACACTGCATTATATGGCTCTATGTTGATCATATCATGCATAATATGGGTCTACACTGAATTATAAGGATCTACACTGCATTTTATGGGTCTACATTGATCATATGCATAATATAGGTCTACATTGATCATATCATGTGTAATATGGGTCTACACTGCATTATATGGGTCTACGTTGAGCATATCATGAATAATATGGATCTACACTGCATTATATGGGTCTACGTTGAGCATATCATGAATAATATGGGTCTACGTTGATCACATCATGCATAATATGGGTCTACACTGCATTATTTGGGTCTACATTGATCATATCTATTAATGGGGCTACATTGCATTATATGGATCTACACTGCATTATGTAGGTCTACACTGCATTATATGGGTCTACGTTGATCACATCATGCATAATATGAGTCTACACTGCATTATTTGGGTCTACACCAGGCATGGGCAAATTTTGGCCCTTCCTACCAGCTGTTAGGAATTCTGGGGTTGAAGTCTAAAACACCTGGAAGGCCAAAGTTTGCCCATGTCTGGTCTGTACTGATCATGTCATGCATTATATGGATCTACACTACATTATATAGGTCTAGACTGCATTATATGGGTCTACGTTGATCCTATCATGCATTACATGGGTCTGCACTGCGTTATATCAGTCTAGACTGCATTATACATTGCATGATATGGCAGTGTAGATCCAGCTTAGGAGGTTGATAGATCCTCTGGTAGGAAAAACTTCTGGAGATCATTCCAAAAGGCTTTTCTTTATTCAGCTTCCCCAAAGTATGCACGGGGAATATTCAGATTACAAGGTGCTACATTGCTCTTTTAAAAAATCATTAGGGATGCATCAGATTTCGTTTTCCAGTATCTTTCCTCTCTCTCTCTCTCTCTCTTCTTAATAGGGTTTTGTATCTACTCAGCACTTTTATTTTAGTCTCTTTTGTAACAGTCATTATCAACTGAAATGGAGAAGTTTAGAGAGATGATTGTTGTTGGAGGAAGGGAGGGACTCTGGATCAATAGCCAGAGTTTATATTGTTAGGTAAAAATAAATGCTGAAGGTCATGCTTGTGGGTCAGGTATAGAGATGTGTATCAGCTCTTAGAACTAAAGACTGAAAGAAGGAGGGTAAATCAGTTCCAACTGATTCACCTAATTTTTTGAATGTATATATCCTGAGTTCTCAAAAGTTAGAATTTGTGAGGTCTTCTTGTTTAAAATCCAGAATGCTGTTCAGATCAGTGAAAGCAGGCAACATTTTCCCCAACTTTTTTTAAAAAAAACAAAAACAATTATTTGATGTTTGGCCAAATGCCACAGGACAATAATATTCAATTCTCCATCATCACAACCATAACTTGGGGCTGGGGGAGAGAAAATGGAAATAAGTAGTAAAAACCAGAAGCTTTATTGGCCCTTTGCACAGCTTGAGATAAGTGTCTTCTGTCTGGGTTGTTATATTATATGTTTAACGGACAGACGGTACAATCAAAAACACACTTTTCTATATTGTGCGAGAGTTTATGGTTTTATCTTTCTGCAGCTCCTAGATATCACTATTGTAAGACTTTGAAGCACTAGGCACTTATTACATTGTGTTTTCAGTTAGAATTACGAAAAATTACTAAGAATTCATATTTTGTTGAACCTCCTCATAGAGAAGACAGGGAATTGCTGTCGGGCTTTCTGTATTTCTGGACTGAGGAAACTTGATAAATAAGGCAGAGAAGACCTGAAACCCTTGCTCAGCGGTATTCTTCTGCTGAGTTCTACTGTGCTTTTGATGTCACTTTGGTTTTTATCAGGTGTGGGTTTCAAGAGCAAAAATAAAATAGATCTCAGCTTTGTAAGTCCCAAATAGCTCGTATGTGTTGGAGGTAGATGTGACATTCAGTTGATCACACAGACTATGTCTACCTAGATCAGGCATTGGCCCTCCAGGTGTTTTAAATTGTGGGAGTTGAAGTCCAAAACACCTGGAGGGCTGAAGTTTGTCCATGCCTGACCTAGATACTAGCTGGGGAACAACTATATAATTGGCCATTATCTGTTTTGCAAAAGTAGTGGTTGCCATGGGGCAAGCAGTGCGGAGCAGGCTTCTGCTATCTCTTTGTGGCACTCTGCTAATGCAACTCCTGGTGCAAAATGGGCCACAGGCTTCGGCTCATGTAAATACAGCCCATTCCTGGCTTAATCCCATATAATTACCACTTGAATGCTCATCACACGCCGTGGTCCGATGCTTGGTGTAATGTTCTTATGATCTTGACTCAGAAAATGTACATTACAGTGTTATTATATCTCCCTCTTCCTCTATTTTTGATATACAGTATGTGTGGAATAGAAAAATATCACAACCTTGTGCGTAAGTATTACTTATTGTGGAAAAGCATAATCTATGGCAGGACATAGTTAAGAGGTGTGTGTGTAACCCTGCAGATTTTCTTGAGTCTCTCAACAGAATTAAATTTCACTGACCCTGGTATTGTTCTAGACTGCCTGACTCTGATACGACTTTGTAGTGGCTTGTTTCCTTCTTGATGGGTTGATCTTAGTGTATTGAGAGATTGGACTTCTATGCTATTCAGACTTTCACAAGATAGGTGAGGTAGGGGATAATCTATTGATACTATCTCTATTTTGCATTTCAGATGAAGCAAGCTTATTTTCTCTTTCTAAAACCAGGTGTGACGAGGGCAGTTGAAGTTTTGAACTGGGCTTGAGTCAGTTTTGGAAAAGCTGTGAGTGAATAAACCAAAGCTTAATATAGGTATGGAGATACTGTTGTTTTGTATAGTATCTCCCAGCACATCACTCTCCAGATGCACTTGCACTGCTCTTTTTTCAGCACCAATGAGGGAGTAATTCTGTCTGAGGATCATGGGAATTTTAGTCCAGCAAAGCTTCAGGTTAGGTGAAACTGGCTCAGGTATTCTGCGAATCTGGGAGTAGTATTCCAGTTGTTTCAGACAGAACTGCATTCCTACATAAATACAGATTTACCATAGAAATGTCTTCCTAGATCCATACTTGCTTCTGGGTGGGTGTAAAAGGGCCTTTTTGCACTTTCAGCTATGCTATTTCCTTGAAAAACTGTACCTGACCAAACATTTTAATCCCAGACAATTTCCAAATTGGATTTATGTGGCCTCCTGAACAGTTTTTGCTCATCAGTTCCCATAATTCCACATTATTGTCAGGGCAACAGTGCCAAGCCCAGTAATATGTAATAGGAGCTGGAGGCAAAAAAAAAAAAAAAAACACCTGGAGGGTTACAATTGACCTCTCCTATTGTAACATGTGACGTTGGCTTTAAAGACAGTTTAGAAACTTGAGTAAGTTGGAGTGGGAGAAAAAGACCTTTAAATAAGCAACTAGGGGGGAGTGGCCCATGGTCTTAGACGTTTGTACAGTGATACACAGACCATAAAAATAAGATAAAATTGAACGCTTGACATAGTATTTCAAATATGATATAATAGGCAAAAGGGGGAAATGGCCAAACAGATGGGAGAATCTTGGAAAAGCTAAAGTCTATAATATAAACCTGTAAGAGGTTAAAAACAATGAAAATGGCTTTTTTGTTATGTCCATAGCAAAAGAAACAACAAGGATATAGTAGGGTCACATGGAAGAAATGGCAGAATGCTAACAGGAGACAGAAAAAGGAGAGTTCCTTAACGCCGCCTTTGCCTTGCTCTTCTCCCAAAAGTAGAACAGTGTTCAACCTGGGAAAATGGAGCAGATGATGTTGCAGGGGAAATGCCCCACAGAATAGGTAAAGAGGCAATGAAGGTATACCTGGATACTGTATCAAGTTTCCGGGGCCAAAAAACAAAAACCAAAAACCTACAACCAAGGCTATTAAAAGAAATGGCAATTCTTTGAGAATTCTAGGGAAAAAGCAAATGCAGAAAAAGAAAACCCAAACAATGACTACCCAGGGAGCCTTACATGAATGTTAAGAAAGATTGCAAATAGTTAAATAGACCGTCTGTAAGCACGTAGAAATGCTTACAGACTGTGATATCTAAAAAGTTCAATATAGGTAGCTAGGATGTCCCAAAAATCAACATATCACTAAAAGTCAACAAATAGTACTTGACTATTCTTCTCTTTCTCTCTCTCTCTCTCTCTCTCTCTGTGTGTGTGTGTGTCTTTTAATTGATAAAGTTGCAAGTTTAGTAGATGAAGGGAATGCTGTGGATGTAGCATATCT